ACCACACACACATGTTCTAAAAGTATTGAAAAGAATTCAAGAATACAGATAGGTCATATTTTGCTAGCAGATCTTAACAATTCGTGGGTTGGATTTTCTTTTTTTACCACTTAGAAAGTTAAAAACAGCTCTCATCTTGCAAATAACACGAGTGATTGAATCAACGTAAACAACCCTTTATTTCCAACATACTTTATCAACTTTGGTAAATACTAGTAATATATTTCTTTGTAATAAACCTCAGCAACACATTTTTAGAATTACTGCTAGCTCTTCTTATACCAATAGCTAACAGTATTTGAAATTTTCGGAACGTTTAACAGCTAACAAGTCACAGTACCTAGAGCTTAAATAGCATCTGAAAATAAATATTCTAAGAATTTAAACTTTTTAAAATTATACTATTTGTTTCCCCAATAGATTGAACTAATTATAGATTATAAAATTTTAGCAATTATTTTCTTGTCAGGAGATTTAAGCCTCGAGTTAAAGATATCACTAGCAATTTATATATTTTTTGTAAACCTCAGTAGTAACAGAATAAGAAACAGGAGATTTAAGCCTCGAGTTAAAGATATCACTAGCAATTTATATATTTTTTGTAAACCTCAGTAGTAACAGAATAAGAAACAGGAGATTTAGGCCTCGAGTTAAAGATATCACTAGCAATTTATATATATATTTTTTGTAAGCCTCAGTAGTAACAGAATAAAAAAAATCAGCTTAATATTTTGCTAACTATTAACGCACTTCGTTTTGTTGTTGTTTTTTTCAAATAGACCTTTAAAAATTCGTATGTTTTGTTAAAGTCCTACAAAACACGTTATATGTATAATTCAAAAATCCATTAATAACAAGAGATATGAAACTAACAAATGATAAGGTGTTATCAAACCTAGAAAAATTACTTTATAAGCCTAATGTCAACAGTTCTTTATTCAAAAGTTTGATTTTCATTACAGGATGATTTTATCATTTATTTCATATTATTTCTACATAGCTAAAAGTAGCTAAAAAAGTATTGACTTTCTGTTGTATCTATGAAAAACTTTACGAAATTAAAAATATAGCCAAATAATCTTACATACCAACCTTGATATTTCCAAATGTGTTAGTTGGTTATTTCATTATTATTTGCATTGCCTTTCTCCGATCTATTAATGTTTTTTTTAAAGAAACAAACTTGGATCTTAGCTAAAGCTAATTTTGCACGAACCTTGATATTTCCTAGTACCAAAAAACGTTGACCTTGTTTTTTGATCGCTAGTCGTCAAAATATAAGAGAACAAAATAAGATATATCAAAACAAGAATTAAGTGCGTTTCTTATAAAGAATGGACATTTAATAAACGAAAATATTTCGATCTAAAACAAATAATGCTACCAGGAAGTGACGTTTAATTAAACTATTTTTGTGTAGCTTATTACGATATCTAAAAGAAGCGAGGTCAGCGAACTAAGCAGAGTCTTGTGCTTGTGTGTGTCGTGTTACATTCAGCTCCGATTACAGTTACAAGTTACTGTTCAAGGGAATTATTACCGTTATAAGATTACTGAAGAATTGGATAGTTTTTCCATGGTCATTGTTAGTAATAGTTGTTTTTAATTGCCGTTTTCTCCATGAACTATTTCTGTTTTTGGTAGTCCAAACTTGACATGGCGTGATGTTCAACATATCATCGTACAAACTGCTCGAGTGCCAGTAGCAGACGAAGAGGGTTGGGCTTTTAACGGCGCAGGTCACCACTTTCACCACAAAGTTGGATTCGGAGTGATGGATGCCGCCAGAATGATCTACCTAGCGCAAAATTGGACTCTTGTAGCTAACCAACATCAATATAACGTACCATCAACAAAGGAAACCATGTAAGACATTATAAGAACGTGCTCAGCACGAATTAAGTTAGCCAACTGTAAAAATTCGTTTATTTTAAGTATTTAAAATGCACGCTTAACAAAATGCAAGAAACAAATTAAATGTCTTATCAACTATTCCATTATTGTATGGTTTAAACTAACTGTGGAAAAATATTGTTTGATAGGCTACAGTAATGCCAAATGCTTAATTTCATATTTGTTTTTTTTCCCTTATGAATTACTGTTGAAAATATTATAACACACTGATAAGTCTTGAAACACTCATTCTAAAGATGATCCATTTTGTGTGTTTGTCTATGTTAGCATCCATCACCCAGAGTTGGCTGTCTTGATTACCGTAGTTATCTGTATGGCAACTGGAAACTGTCCGATGGTACAGATGGACTATTTTGTTTTAGGACCTTTGCCATAGAATGGGTTAAAAAGACCCTGAAATAGCTCATATTTCTACTTTTTATTGAATTTAAAGACACGAGTACTTAATTAGTTAATTTAGTCAATTATTACCTTCCACAAAGTAGGGTATGCAATAAGTATCTAATGGGGGTCATTAAGGATTTAATAACAAAAGAAAAAAGAAAGGGGAACATTATTCTTTATACCTTAACGTGTATCCTTACTAAAAACTAGCTGTGTACCTATATGGTGACAATATCATATGTTTGAGCTCTGAGTTTATTATCACGAGTATTGAGCAAAGACATGATTGCCAATAATTATTAAAAATAATTGAAGTATTATTTTCAAATTATTCTTGTGAACTTTAAATAGATGTCTTTATCCATACTTACATAAACTAGCTCTGAGAAAAAGAAAAACAACGTGGAATATAGCGTTGAAGTAATGTTTACAAACTGTCTATCAAACACCAAACTTAGTAAGCTTGAGATAGCCAGTTACTATCATCTAATATGTTTTATACCAGTGCGAGGGAATACAACGTAGTAAGGTTTTAGAACATCAGTAACGAATAAAGCTAAACAACATCTTAAGCACAATGGACTATACGGCTAGGTCAGACGAATATAATTCAGATATAACTGTGGACCAAGGGGAAGGCAACCAAGCGACAGTACCCGCTGCATGAGTAGTTATTATCGACCGAATAAAGGGGTCGATTGCTACTCTTATGACGCACTTATATTTGACGATGAGATGTACATCTGATAGCACACATCTTCGAATCCAAAACCCTCCGATGTTATACATTTGAGCAGACTTTGGCCTGGTGATGTTTGAGAGATAAAATTTTTTGTTTTACATGTGTAGGAGAGCAATAGCAATATGTATTCTTAGAAGTGGAATTTACTATTTACTGTGCTGAGACTTATAGTTTAGAATCGGTTTAGACGACCAAAAGCTTGTGGTTCTTTTCAAAATTAAAGTAGTTGTTTATGTGGAATTTTTGGATAAATTATTCACTTTTTGTAATTCCAATTGTTTGTGAATCATTAGGTTTAATACTTAAAATTGCTCAGATAATTTTGTGTAAACTTACATTTAAGTTGAAACTTACTGATTCGTACAATGATTGATAAGAAGGTATATATCTATTAGCTAGCGAACCTATGATTTAGGGGTTTTGTTTTCAAATCACTTTTGTTATCATCTGACTATTTCTATATAGGTTTTGGTGCACTTCTCTATTTTCAAAAAAGAGAGGTTTGTTTGCGTGAAATAGTTACAGTTGAAAATAATTGTCGATACTCTTATATACGAATGCTTATATTTTATTTACAGTCGTTTGACACGAGATGGCAGCACTACAATAGGAGTGACTGTGGACAAAAATGCCATGACCGTTAATAATCGGGTTGACCATCTGGAGCACGTTTTGGCTACAGTAAACATAACCTCCAAGAAACGAGGAGACATGGAAGTACATTTAGTCTCTCCCTCAGGAACGATTTCGAATGTTATGACGAAACGCCCTTTAGATACCAGTGACAAAGGATTTTATATGTGGGATTTTATGAGTGTCCATTTCTGGGGGGAAGATCCTCATGGTCGATGGCTATTGAAAGTTAAACACAGTGGTAAATTTTTCTCCACAGTTGTAATTCATTATTTCTCCCTGACACTGTATGGAACAGCAGAAAACCCACTTTCAGAAGATGGCCTGCCAATTGATAACTCACGCGTTATTAGTAGAAATGTATTGTCGACCATTACTACTTCTGAAAAACGGTTGTCCAAAAAAGTCCACCTTCTTCCTCGGAATACGTCTGGTTTGTTAGAAGATTCCGATAGTGTATTGCACAACAGTTCCGCATTTGAAAACAAAACACTTGAAACCTCAGTTGACCAGACTGAGACTACAGCTTACAAGAGTGGGCCACATTTTCTCATGACCACAACACTGGCAACTCCAAAATCCTCTCCAAAAATTAACACACATCTCAACTCCAAAAATAATTCTATTTTGAACAGATCATTTTTTGACTTGTTTAAAAATAGGGCTCTTGGTTCACCTCGAAAAAAGCCGGATACAATATTTCAAACGACGGAACCTTCCAAATTGAGAATTAAATCAAACAGAAACCCAAAAAAACGTCTCCCGAAGATAAGGTCTGGTAAAGACCGATTTGATGAAGTAATGGGTGTTTCTAGATCGACTTTAGTTAACTTCCTGAATAAATACACCAAAAGAAAACACACCTTGAAACGATATTACAAATGTGTAAAACATCCCACGTACTGCAGATATTTTGCTTATAAACCAAAAAAAGAGGAGGCTGTTAAACTTTCATCACCAGTTCGTGAATATGTTCTTAAAGACCCAGCTTTCGGATATGCAACGCAATCTGAATCACGCGAGGGGAAACTTATTCGTAAGAAACTGAAAAGAAAATACATCTTAGAAATGATGAAACGATTTACTATTTATTGCCACTTTCTACGTAACCATGACAACCATCGTCTGCATTTCTCGTCGGACAGGCACATACCCGTCGAGCAAGTCCGTCCGTATCGGTACTTTATATAAACAGTGATAACTTTCAAGTGCAACCACAATAAGGTAGACAGAAACATTTGAAATAGTATAGGCAATATATATGACTGTTAATGTCACATCCATGTTGGAAAGAAATTTAACGAGAAAATTAAAAAAACAGTAAGTTAAAGTACGTGTATGAGGTTTTGAATCGCACAAAATATCGAAGTATTTATACACCAAATAAAAAAACACACGCATACACGCACAAACATAAAATTATAAAGCTAGTTACCCTAATAAATAAATATATAATACACCAAATGACTGAAAATTAAATTAATTTCAGACTATGTTTCACAACTTTTATTTGGATTCCTGGACTAAAATTGAGGCCCCCCCCAGTGGTACAGCGGTATGTCTGCGGACTTACACCGCTAGAATCCGGGTTTCGATACCCGTGGTGGGCAGAGCACAGATAGCCCATTGTGTAGCTTTGTGCTTAATTACAAACAAACTAAAATTGAGGAGTCGCTAAAACACTGAATATTCGTCTTTATTTCAGGTAATTAGTATTCCTTTGTGTTTGATAAAACTACTTGATATGATGAATCGTATCCCATCTTCTTCCCCAGCATTTCTTGCTATACGTCTTTATATAAGCTACCTGTACTGAAGGAACATTGCTTATACTCGTTTAATTAATCATATGGTATACAAACTTGTTTGCTTGTTTGGGAATTTCGCGCAAAACTACACGAGGGCTATCTGCGCTAGCCGTCCCTAATTTAGCAGCTTAAGACTAGAGGGAAGGCAGCTAGTCATCACCACCCACCGCCAACTCTTGGGCTACTCTTTTACCAACGAATAGTGGGATTGACCGTCACATTATAACGCCCCCACGGCTGAAAGGGCGAGCATGTTTGGTGGGACTGGGATTCGAACCCGCGACCCTCAGATTGTGAGTCGAGCGACTTATCCACCTGGCCATGCCGGGTCGGAAAAAAAACAAAAACTCAATTTCGTCAATCTTTTCCATACATGTCCTCAGCATATTATGCTCCGAAAGTTCCTTTGAGTTTGAGAAAACCTGCTTACGTCTGTGTTAATGAGTCAGGTATCAGTAAAGAACATTTACACCATTTTCTAGTTTTCCTCTCTAACCAGATATAGTTTCTCTGGTATTTGAAAATCACGCAATGAGTCAATATAGCAAAAAAACAACAACAACAACACTCAGTTCGTTTATAGTTTCCTGTTATTCTTTACATCACGTGGATCAAAAGTAGCCTATTGGTTAGCATGCCGTACTGTGAATCCGAGGGTCCATGGTTCGTGTCTCGCACTCCGCACTTTGGGAACTTGAGTACATTACAAAAGTGACGGTAAATCCCATTATTCGATTAGAGTAATTCCAGAATTGGCGGGAGGTGCTACTAACCAGCCGCCTTTCCTGCAGTCTCTCAGTTCAAAATTAGGGACAGCTGGAGTGGATATCCCTTATGTTGTTTTGTGAAAGTGTCCGAAACAAACAATATTTATGTCGCGCGTTGGGTAGCGAAAGTTTGTTAAGGTTTGATTGTTCGTTTGTTTGTAATTAAGCGCAAAACTACACAATGGGCTATCCTTGCTCTGCCCAACACGGGTATCGAAACCCAGGATTCTAACGTTGTAAGTCCGCAGACATACCGCTGTTAAGGTTTGAAAGAGTACTGCTTACACCTAGTAAAAGGAATCAGATGCTACTAAATTCTCATTTTTATGAACATTGCTCTGCTATTCTATATGAAGTACATAATGTTTCTCTTTGTCTTAGAAACATCGTGTACCGACGTCATGTGTCACGTACAGGAAAAAAAACAACATAATTTCGTTAACATTTTCCCGTTTTTCCTTCTGCATGCCAGAAGTCAAACGTTTATCTGGGTTCAGAAAAACGCTGGTTATGCCTAAGGCAATGAATCAAGATCCACTGGAACTTTGAATTTATCCACACCTTTCCATTCGTCTCTATGTTAGGTATTTTTTTTTTAGTTTGGGAAATACTTCCCACAATGCAATCGGTACGACACCAAATCTTGAGTTCCTGGGTAATATCCTACTCTTGTACTCTATATGACGATTATTTGCGTTTCCTAAACTGCTTATACCTAGTATAATAATTGACAAAACTTTAAAACATTCATTTAATCAATATTTTCTAAGCTTTCTTTTCCATATCTGGTAATTATTGCCTTTCGTATTTAGTAAATAATTGCTCAAAAAGAATGTAATGAGTCAGGTGTCGCTGAAATGTTCGTTTAGTATATTTTCCTACTGTTACTTTCTATGT